GGTGGGGGTTGGGTTTGTGTGTGTGTGACAAGCGCCTTATGTAACTGATACTAAATTTTATAATTAGTTACGTTTGGGAATGAAAGAGGCATACCATTCACGTCCAAGCTCCATTGCACGTCCAGTGACCCAAAGGAATATAAGACCATCGGTTTGTAATGCAGGAACATTCAGTGTGCGCATTTCATCATCAGCCATAGTTCCATAAGGCAATTCCATATGAATATCCCAAGGTGGATCAGCCATTATAACCCCAAATTGCCCCAATATGTCCATTCTAAACGAACGTATGTCACAGTTGATCCACTGTGGTTCTCCAAGCTCTACTTCCGAGCAATAGTGAGCACTTTGAAGCTTCAAGGGTTTCGGAGGAGGTAAAGTAGTAGCTTGCCCCATCATCATAGTTGATACATCAGGAGTTGAGTCGAGCTCGTAGTGTACATACTTGCATGTCTGTCATTTTTTACGAGTAATGGTTTTGATTCAGAAATGAGAACTGTTGTACGAAAGAAAAGAAACAGTATTTATTTTATTACCTTCATGTGACGACAGGTGTCAAGAAATGAACAGTCACCCAAATTCACATCAGTATGTGCGGCAATTATGCGCCGAAAATGAACCTAATCCAAGTAAAAGATTTCAGGTAAATATTACCAAGCTGCAGCAATGTTATCAAACCAATGTAACAAACAATGTTTTTATTCACTAATAATACACAAACAAAGATTAGGAATGGACTCGCCTTATCACAAGCAATGAAGGAACTAGACTGACGCCGGCAATCTTCTTTCGTTAAAGCAGAGCAGTATTCTTTCACTTGTGAACCACCTTTGCTTTTAAACTATTATTACGACAATCGGCAGCAATGACACGGCTTATTAGAATTGATATCAGAAATTTCTTCCAGCAAAAGGAGCAAGAAGAATATCTAAACACAACATTACTCATATCTACTGACAAGCAATGTAACACCACATAACATAAGATATACGTCAAGGACACTTTCACATGATCCGAAACAAATCAAAGAAAAACAGAGACTACATTAGTCAATCCTAAAAGCAATCAACCAACAAACTTCAACCAAACACAGTAACACACACCTTCGCTGCCACAGCAGTTTCTTTAGCCGTCGGCCGGTGGATGAGATCAAGAAGCTCCTCACCCGTCTTCGATCTTTGCATCTCCCTGAAACTCTTCTTGTTCAGCAAAGCCTCGAGATCCTTCATGTCGTCTTCCTCAGTCCTCGGCTTCGCGGCAAGTGCATTTGCAGCCCCTCCGGAGGCCACCTGCCTGTGCATGGGTAGAGGTACCCCCACTCCCCTCGGCACCCCCATCATCCCCCCCACGGCCCTGGGCCTGCCAGCTTCCCCGGTGCCCGGAGGCTCGTTCGGCTGCCTGTTTTCCGGCAGCTCCATCACGAGCTTTGTCCGGTCGATGTTCATGACCATTACCCTCGATTTGCCGCTCACCACAAACTCCTCCAGCTCGACCCCTCCGCCGCCGTCCTCGGCCATGGATCTCAGGGCCGTCTCCACCGCTAAGATGGGACCGGACTCACCGCCCAGCTCCATCAGGGCGGCCCGCTCGGCCGGCTCAGCCGACGACGGACCGTTTTCCAGCTTCCTCAGCACCGTGGAGGAATCGATGGGACTGAAGGGGATCCTCTCCAGCAGGCACACGGCGACCATGGACCGGACGACAGGGAGCGGGCCCCCGCTTTCTTCGATCAGGGCCCGCTCGTTCTCACGAGGGGAGGGCCGGAGGACGGCGGCGGGGATTTTGGGGTTGTCGGGGGGCAATTTGGGGATATGGGTCTTGGGATGGGCGGGCTTTGGGGGCAAGATCTGGGAAAGGGGGGTGAAGGGAGTGTTGTTGAAGGCGGAGATGGCGCGGAGGGAGAGGTCGAGGGAGGAGACGAGGTCGGGGACTGCGGTTTGGAGGGAGGAGATGAGGTCCAGCTGGGCCGCGTGGAGGGTGTCCACACGGGATTCTAGCTGCTGCCTCGTCTCCTTCATCACTGCGATTGGATCATCATTGGCTTCGGAAGATAAACCCTCCATTGATTTTTTTTTTTTTTTTTCAACAGAGATTTCAGTAAAAGGGTTCTAGTGAGGTTTTTGTGAGAATGAAAAACTGAAGGGAAGGGACAACTGCAACACTTAATTATAAAGGATAAATTGCAAATCTAATCTTAATTTTTGGTCTGTAATTTTTGTGGTATAGACAGTAATAAGGAAACATTGCAAATTTATTAATCATAATCTTTGTTTTTTTTTAAATATTTAATATCATGTCATATATCTTTCAAATGCAAAGTCAAGATTCCGCTCATGCCAATCTTGACAAGCGAACAATGTTTTTTTTTTTTTCTAACAAAAACAAATGCATCAATTAAACTTGGAAAATTACAAAGGCATGTTCAACTGAACACAAGACGGCCAACTCTAACAAAACTGAAAGAGAGGCAACCACCGGGGGAATGGAACATTATTTCTCCTCAAGAGCCAACTTGGCTAAAGCACAACTACTAACCGAAGACAGACAACGACTAAAAACACGTAATGAAACAATGATTTGTTATACCACAAATACTTGAACCGCTGGACCGCTCCTCTCCGAACCGGGTTGCGTCTCCTTGATCGCTGGTACCTGCAAAGCACGCCGGGGGTGGTCCCGGCGCGAACACTCCGACGCTCAAGTCAGTAATGGTCCAAAGAGAAAACGGCAGAGTAACGAGACAACAAGTACGTGTGTTGTGTAAAATAAATGAACCTGCTCCCTTTTATAGGAGAGATGTGGAGAGTCCCAGTGGGATAAGAAGTCTTCTTCATATCAAACTCTTAATAGGTTAAAGGTCTT